GTTGTACTCACATGCATTTGTGAAGCCCTTTTTATTGACCCAAGATTTTTCAAGGACTTTATCAAGTTTTGTCAAACAGTCATGTGAGATTGTAATAAATTTCAACAAACCTTGAATACACACACATCTATATGAATGCAAAGGAGGCTTGATAATAATTTAACATAGCAACCTATTAACCCATAGATTTTTTTGCTTATTACTTGATATTCCAAACCTTTCCTGAGTTTTCAGCTAAGAAGTTCTGCGCTGACTGCCTCAGAGGAAAAACAATGTGACAAAACTCACCCATCAATTCTTGGTTTGGTTTTGTGACTTGGCTTATTTACTTTAGAAAGCATAGGCTTAGAGGAAACCCAGCCAGAGGTGATTAAGAAGACTAAAGTTTCACCAACCCTTTCCCACCCAGTCCCCCTTATTCTGAAGAAGGGAAGGTGCTGTTCAAAAGAACAAAGAGAGTTTACACATTAACAGAGGGAGTTCCTGGACAATGTAGCTTTGGACCCCAACATTGCAGAGAGTTTTACCTGAGAGTATAAAAAAACACACTTTACTTTTTGGGTAAAACTAGGAAAAGCAGTGAAAATGAGATTCTCTAAACTTCACATGGTAAGGAGTGAAGATATTTCCAGTGAGCACAAAGTTAAGGGGGATGTGAAAAGACAACTAGATATAATTAGTCTTCAAGTTTACTCTTCTGCCAAATCCAAGCTGTCCCAAGTTTTAGTTCTACAGTTTTTATACTTTATATATGCTTCTTTTTACTTCTGTGGTAAGGTAAAATTCCCTATTGGCCCACTCATAATTTCCCCTAATTCTTTAAACATAGTTCTTAACTATGCTATACTATGTGGAAGCTAGTTTCTATGAACTGCTTTCCCCGCCTTTTCCACTCTTTGGTTAACTTTTGTTACTACTTTCAAGAAAGTGGGACTCCCTGGTGAGAATGATTTCAGAATTGGGTAAACCATGACACTAAGTGGTAAGATTCTAATTTCAAAGCAATCACTTAAGTGGGGTAGGACCTTTTCTCATGAGAAACCATGCATAATGTGTGATGGTTTCCAATCTTCAAACTAGAATTACCATTGTAAACCCCCTGTGGAAACTGTAAAGATAGCATCACCATACTTTTTGGTGAGTCTTAAGAATGAAACTGGAAGAGAATTTACTGAGTATTTGACTTCCTGCCTTCCACCAAATAGAACAGACAATCTTCCCCAATGACTGCTTTTTCTAAACAAAGAGTAGCTTTTTGCATTTCCTAATGTGGAGGTGATTAAGTAGTTAAAAGAAAAAGCAATCAACGCAGGCATAAAGAAAAAAGTACTACCCAGAGAAATTGCCATTAATATTTTGTTCAGTATCCTTCTAGATGCTGTTCTCTGCAAACATTAATGTATACAACTTTATTTGTATGGGATAATATACATGTTTTTATCTCATTATTTGGTAAAGGTCAACATATATGGCTACATCAACCTTTCATTGACTATATATTCTGTGGCATAGGTGTTCCAAAATTTATTATTTAGGGCAGTCACTTATGAAAGGGCTTATTTCTAGATCCCTGCACTTATAAAAATATTTCTATTGTCTTTGTGTATGCCTATGTGTGCCTGTTATGAACTTGTTAAATAATGTCTCCTTGTGGCAATACATTTCTATAACATTATTTTATATCTAAAACATAGTCAAACCTTTTAATAATGAAAAGCTATTTTTCCACCAGGAAAGTGGTATTCCTTATATTAACCAGTCCATTTCCCTCTAGCTTCAGTCATACTGGGTATGCACAATCTTTTCAAACCTTACCAATGTATCAGGCAAAAAAATGACATCTAAATTTTGTTGATTTATTTGGTAGTGAGTTCTAACACTGTGTTGGGGATGAATGGGTATCTTTTCACGTGGCTCCTTTCTGGCTATAAATGGGCTGCATGTGCATTATATAGAGGTCTGGGGTGTAAATAACATGGTCTGGCTTCCATATATACTACATTAATTCTCTGTGCCCTTGGGTAAGCCCCTCAAACTTTCTGTGTTTCAGTTTCTTCAAATGCAGGTAAAGAATTTGGAATGAATGTTCCTGAACTTCCTTTCATCTATGAGAAGAAGGTAGGGAATGGCAGTATGCATGTGTGCAGCAAACACTGTGAGTAGACTAACCCAGTGCCATTTCTAGCTCTTCTTCCTTTGCCTCCTTTTACTGTAGAAAGGACTGGAAACATTTACTATCCCCTTTATCAGCCTCCTTGGGAGCTATGAGATTGTCATCTTACCATGTTCTAACTAATCAGACATGAATAAAAGTCTATTAGGGTGTTTCTAGAAAATCTTTTGCTTTCCTGATAAAGAAACAGACACTCAAGAACACAAGTTTATTGGTGCTTTGCCTCCCTTACTCTCTGCCTTCAATGCAGACTGGCTGCCTGCACCTACAGGGCTGTGTAGTACATTTCCACATAAGTAGTATCTGTTTTCCAGAATCCTGCATGATTTCAGGTTAGCATTGACTGTGAAAGAAATGTTGCATGAGGCATGGAAGCAGTAGCTGTGGTTTTTACACTCTGAAGGACAATACCAGGCTCCAGGTATGGTGGTAACTCTAGCTGATCCCTGACTCATCCTGCTGGTGTGAGGCAGCACCCAGACTTGCAGCTTTGCTGGCTCCCTCCAGATCCCCTCCTTCAGTTTCTCCAAGTCCTATGCCAAGTACATGTGCAGCTCCATGAAAGGTACCAATTTCTCCCAAAGTATGTCTGCAATATGGCAGTTAGAGTTAGTGATTCAGATTGTCTTTGAGGATTTTAGTCACTTGTGAGCTCCATTTTTGTCCCGTCAGGTCCAAGTCTGTTCTTGCTCTCACCCATGTTCAGTTTTCTATCCAGACTGCCATTCTGGCTGATCTCTGGTCACTTCAGTCTCAACACCAGAAACAATACAAGCAAAATACCTTATATATATTCTCCACCACAATGGTGAAAAGTCTAGTGCTTTACTGTCCAATGGAACTTCTGTAATATGGAAGTGTTTGACACAAGAGCTGTCCAACATGTGGCTACTGTACCTAGTGCAACTGAGAAACTAAATGTTGACTTTTATTTCATTTTACTTCACATACATTTAAAAAGCCCCGTGTGTGGGAAGAGTGCCCTGGACTATAGTGATGGCACACGGGTGAACTGGTGGTAGGAAGACCATGGGGATTACAAATGAGATGGAAAAATGTACAAAATGAAGAAAGATGTAAAAAATAAGTTTTTATCTAAAAAAAATAATAAAAGAAACAGCCCCATGTGGCTATCACACTGAACAGCACAAGTTTCACAGGTTTAAATCTCTAATTGATCATTCACAATGGTTCTGTATCTCTGGTTGAATCCTGACAGCAACTGATGACCATGTGGGGAGAACAAGCAGCCCGAAAGCCAGCCTGCAGGAATCGTGGGCCAGGACAGAAAGAGCCCTGTTCCGGGAAACCCACCAGCCTGTGACCCCTAAACTTCTCTCTCAGAAAACAGACCCACTGTGAGGTTGCCATGCTGGGAACTTCACCCCATTTCAATGCCAGATTTGAGGAAGGTGAGCCCAATGCTCATGAGCAAGCAGGTATTGGGGGGTGAAGGGGTCCCCTCCATGTTTCTCTTTCCTTTACTCCACCACAATAGCTTTTTTCCCATGGCCAGATCCCTATACAGTGCCTTCCACCTCCCAGTCCTCCTTTCTTGGCCAAATGAATGACATTTCTCATTAAGTAGAATAATCAACAGGTTGCCTATTGAGTGGGATTACTTTAAGCATCAGCCCATTTCCATGACTACAATTGTGACAATAGGTGGTAGGCAAATATTCTTATAGGCTCTGAAACTGGCCATTTACTAATATACTGTACCAGTATTGGCTTTCTGGGTGGGCCTATGGTTACCTGAATAAACAATATTCTCCCTCTCTGACGCTGAACTTGAGTAGAGAACACTGTGCAGGGTTGTCAAGCTGGGTCCACAAACACAAACACTCCCTTTTCCCCTTTTTCAACAAAAAGGGGTTGCTTAAACAGGTGGTTTTCCCTTGTGGTGCTGACATAGGAAAAGGCGAAATGCTGGTAACTGAATCAAAGTAACGGTGCAACAGGGAGCTCAGCATGGTTTGGTTCCTGTCCTTGGATGGACACACTTGCTTTTCACTTCCTCCCAGTTTTGGTCCCGCCCTGTTCCTTTATCTTCCTGAGAATGTTTAAAAGAAAAAGAACATATTGATCTCACTGCCCTGCAAGCCATCGTTGGTGTCCATTGTTCCCTTCTCTGTAACAGGTCACGGGACTGGGTCCTCCCAACTTCTCTATTGTTTGCTGAGTCATTTTGCATTCTCAGTTGTTGCCCAGCCTTCTGTGAAGCCCGCGCAGACCTCGTTCAGTGGCCCTGGACTCCCTCCCAGCCCTCTGCGAGGTCTAAACCCCGCCTAGCCCAGGGGAAACGACCCATTGGAACCGCGTTGTTTCTAGCAGTCGACAGGAAAGGAGCAGCGCGCAAGAGACGCTTCTGACTAGCCAACAGTCATTCTCAGACGTCGGCAGCCAGCACGCCCCAGCCCAGCACTGTGCCCCTCTGAGGTCCGCACCTGAGGGACGTGGAGCGGCCCCTCGGGGTGTGACGCGTCCCACCTCCCTGGCAGCTATCGGGCACAGCTCAAGACACCTCGCTTGAGCCCGGCCCCGGAGGTGGGCGCCCCCTCAGCACCGGCTGCTGGCTGAGTAGACGCGGGTCCACCGAGAGCCTCCAGGACCTCCCGGATGCTGCAACAGAGCTGCCTCTCCCGGAGAGACCAGCGGGAGACCCGACGGAGTCAGCGCTTTTGGAGCGCCCGGGAGCCAGAAGGGGGCTCTGGATTTCGGTCCCTCTGCTTTTCTGTCTGGGTCTCACTGCGCTCCTGCTTAGACCCTTGTCCTCGCAGGTACCTGTCGGGAAAGGAGGGCGCATCTCTCCTGCTGACAACTAACCATGAACAACACTGACAAATGCCAGGAGCTCAGGCCAGGCGAAAGCCCGGTGATCAGCTCGGTGATGTTCTCTGCGGGGGTGCTGGGGAACCTCATCGCGCTCGCGCTGCTGGCGCGCCGCTGGCGGGGAGACTCCCGGCACAACGAGGGACGCTGGAACCCCATTTCCTTGTTCCTCGTGCTGGTGACAGAGCTGGTGTTCACCGATCTGCTTGGCACCTGCTTGATCAGCCCAGTGGTGCTGGTTTCATACGCGCAGAACCAGACCCTAAGGGTGCTGGGTGCTTGCGACTATTTTGCCTTCACCATGACCTTCTTCAGCCTGGCCACAATGTTTATGCTTTTTGCCATGGCCTTGGAACGCTACTTATCCATCGGGCACCCCTACTTTTACCAGCGCCACATCACACGCCGGGCGGGCCTGATGGTGCTGCCCTCCATCTACGTGGTTTCGCTGCTCTTTTGCTCCCCGCCGCTGCTGGGCTTCGGAGCATATGTCCAGTACTGCCCAGGAACGTGGTGCTTCATCCAGTCTGAGACCAGGGGGTACCTGAAGATTTATGCCTCCCTGCTGCTGATCCTCATCGTTGCGATAGTTCTCTGCAACCTCAGTGTCATTCTCAACCTCATCCGTATGCACCGAAGGAGCAGAAGGACCCGCTGCGGACCCTCCCTGAGCAGTGGTCGCGGTGGCCCTGGGATCCGCAGAAGAGGGGAAAAGGTGTCCATGGCAGAGGAGACTGACCATCTCATTCTCCTGGCTGTTATGACCATCACCTTCGCAGTCTGCTCCTTGCCTATCACAGTAAGTCACTCACTCTGTGCTATCTCCCTCTACTTTCCCCTCTGACTTCCCCCTTTCCAGGGGCACAAACTTTTGAAACTTACAAAAATATATCTAAATTTGTAAAGTATCTCTCTGCTAATGTTTCTCATACAGTAATAGAGGCCCGCAGAAAGGGAGCTTTCGCCCTCCACTAAGCTAACCCAACTTCCCCAGCCTAGACTCCCTGTACGCCTGCTGGCTGAGGGGTTGGTATCTGAGGATGAGGTAACTTCCAATCCCCCCTCCACTTTGGAATGGTTGTCATTATTGCTGCACTTTGCCTTTGGCACTTTGGTACACACACACAAGTGGGACTAGGTATCTATCTCTGCTTTACCTTTTATTTTCCCTAGGGCAAAATGTGCCCAATTCACAGTATTCCAGTTGCCCCTGAGAATGGTCCCAGGTTGCAGAAATTCAGAGCTTTCATTATTTGTCCTCCAAGTTCAGTGAACATCTAGTTTATAAGTTTCTCAACACTCATATCAGGAGCGTAATTCTTTCTGGCCATGAAAATTCATAATACTTAGGGGGGGGGAAGATTACTTGGAAGAACTCCTTGGTAATAAGCCTTTGAGATTCATCTAGAGGAGGCGCTTGCATGCTCTTATCCAATATCCTCTGGTGTCACTGGTCCAAAGTGTATACAGGTGCCCTTCAGCTTCTAATTGTGCACTCTGTGGGGACAGCACCCCATACAGGAGTGGCTAGTCTACTTCAGGGAATTTGAAGATTTGCCATGACCCAGCAGGACAGAGGCTGCCTGGAAAACTGAAAGATAGGCAGCCAGGTTCTGGGATGGGTGCCATCCTGGCTTGGGGCAACCTCAGCAGTTAGGTTCATAGTGCTTTGAGTTCCAGCCTCTTAGGTTGTAACATTAATAGTAGAGTCTGGGATGTATTGGACCTGGCCTCTTAGAGAGAGCTGGGAAGTAGGTTTGCAGTTCTACTTCCTTATCTTCACAAGAACTCCTACAGGGAGTAGTAGTCATGGCGAAGAGAGGAGACAGTACCTGCCATTAGCAGGTCAATCTGTAGCAGTGGAAGGGGTCATTTTATACTACTTCCCACCTCTATCACTGCTGATTATCTTCATACATTCATCCCCAGGGCCTGGGAAGGGTCTGAAAAGCCCAACGAGGAAGCTGCCTTCACATACCGACCCACATACTGCCCTCTGTGCTGGGTTTTCTTCTCCCCACTGTTCTCACACTTACACCCCATTCAGTACCAGTGCCAAAGGGAATCTGTCTGAATCAGTGAGTTACATTTTTCTAGAAAGGAGGTAAAGTGTGTAAAAGGTGCCCTCTTGTAAGATGAAGTGGAGCTGTGAGTAGCTGCATCTCCTACTCCACCCTGAGCAGCGGAGTTTGTTCAATATTAATGTTATAAAGTGGAGTCCAAAACGGCCTGTGTTGTTTTGTTTAACTAGTAGGCTCTTTTAATTATGTTAGGCATAAGATCATTTTGGGGGGGTGAGGATTAGAATGCCCAACATGTATCTATGATTAGAGAAAGCATTTCACATTCCAAAAAACAACTTAGAATGTAACCATTCTGAACTGGGGAATGTTTTTCTTGGACTGTTGGGAAATAGCCTGTTAGTTCTTGAAATTTTACCTATCATTTGCGAAAGTTTTACCTACTATTTGTTAAATGTTGATGTTCCCTTAGAGGAGGAGAGCTGGAGAAAAAGATCTCCCTTTTGATTTTGATTGACCCACTGCATACATTGTTTTTAACAACAAAGACAATAATTTTCAATAGGTTCCCCAGTTTTCAAGTAAATCAGCCTTTTAATATGAGAACACCAATATTGTTCTGTGTTAATTTTCATACATGTATATTCATATATCTAGCCATATATCTCTATAGCTATCAATATCCCCTTCATTTAACATTAGCCCACGAGCAGTTCCAGAGTTGCCAAATGAAAGGCACTTAGAGCTAGAAGTCTGTAAGTCTGGCTAGGAAGTTTGGTGGGGCAGGAGATTTGCTTTGAAACTGTTTTTATTTAGAGTGCCTGTTTATGCCCTAGTGAGGGCCAGGTAAAGATTATAGCTTCCCAAACTACTCCTTGGCATTGACACTATCAATAGAGATTAATCTTGGTTTGCTTCTGCATGCATCCATGGCAAAGATTCCCAAGTGCAAGAGAAAAACCTGCTGTGAACATAATCCAAAAGCAAACAAACTGACTTCTTACCTTGGAGTTAGCCTCACATTATTCACATGAACTATAGTCTGTACCTTAAAGATATTTGAATCATATCTTAAAAAGGAAGTATCAAGCCATCTCTTAATAAGGAAATTTACATGTAACATTGATTGATTTTATTTTGTCTTTGCTAGTATTTTTTATTTACATAGCACTGTAAACCTTATGAAATGTTTTAATACCCAAATTATTTGTTGGAGGACTTATTTGACAATGCCAAACTCATGCTTCATATATTCTATTTTAGATGCTCGGCATGTGATTATAGCAGGGGGTACTACACCCCAGCCTTTATTTTACTTGGTCCATATGAAAATTGTGCTCTGAAATGATCTATACCAATCCCACCCAAGCAGGAATCATCTCCACACTATTCTAACTGGGGACACTGTTAGAGGAGGCAACGTTTGTGGTTACCTGCAGAAGTGTTCCTGTTTTTCTAACAGGACATGTGCAATCCAATAGAAATACAGCATGAGCCACTTATGCAAGACACCGTGCGATTTAAATGCTCTAGCAGCCACATGGCTAAAACTAAAAATAGTTGAAATTAATTTTGATCAATATATTTTATCCAGGCTGTGAGTGGGTTAGAATTACTGCTTTTTCCAAGAACACCAGTCTAAGTTGTTCAAAGTTTGAAAAGTGAAGTGAAACTACTAAAACGTAAAATGTTCAGCACCTTGTACTGAAGTCAGTTTCAACCTCAAACACCATTATTAGCAACATCAAAATGGCTAACATTTTTCAGTGCCAATTTTTACATAGATTAACTCATCATCTCCATAACAACCTATACAATAAATATTATTCCCATTTTACAATTGAGGCAAATAACAATCTGGCTCCACAGTTAGTGAAGCTTAGAGCCAGGATTGAAAGCAGACAGTTTAAGCATAGAGAATCCTATTTTCGCCACAATACACCCTGGATAAAGTATTCATTTCAGGGTGACAGATAAAAGATTAAACCAAAATTTCAGAAGAGAACTGTAAAGATGTTATAAACGTCTGGAACACCTTACTACTCATTTATTAGCTTTCACTATTAAGTGGCAAAGACTTCCTTCTCCATGTCAGATCAAGGAGCCTGAGCCAGGGCCAAATTTGCAGTTCCCTTTTTCTTCTTCATAGACCTATAAATTAAAAGACTGAGGCAGAGATTTAAGGATATTGACTTATATAAATGCTATACTACATGAAGAAATAATCAAATTACCCCTCATGTAAAATCTTCCACTGGCACACAAAAAAACCCACATTTCTGGAGTGTTGGAAATAGGCATGCTGTGTTTAGGAAATGACATTATTTTGGTTATCCAATATGAAATCATGACGGGACCAACATCATATTCCAAACAGTTTATGCACTAAAGGGGTATTGTATAAATTAATAAATTCCTCCTTATGATAATCAGCTGTTGTCATCATTGCACAGAGATAAATAGAAACTTACTTTCTTCCTGAAATGGAACAGAATGCAGTAAATATATTAGACCACTACATCAAGCCACTTTTTCACTACTTTACTAATAGTGGATTGCTTCTGGTTAGTTTAAACTGTGTGCCACATACCATTAGGATAAAGTACTTATACATTTTATTTAGTTCTAAAATTTCGAGAGTGAACCGTTGACTCATTGTGAAAATGTCTACATCTTTACAAATTCTTTAGGGCTATCATTTCTAGGTAAATCTGATTAGTGGAAATAGGATCTTTGTGATACAGAAAAAGTTCAAGTAAACAGTACTGGAGTTACCTGTTCATTCCTGATACTCTTTATGTAAAACATAATATAAATGGGCTTTATAAAACTATATGAAATGGCTAAATAGATACATAAGGTTTATCACAATGAAAGAGAAGACTAGAAATTTCTATGTATGACCACAGTGAACTCTGGCAATATTTTAAGTTAGTATCCTTGAACTACTAGAAGTCCATTTATCATTCATGCATCAGCAAAGATGTGTTTGGATTGCTGAAATAACTTGAACATACATTACCTTTTAAGAGAAAGTTCCTCTGGATCAGTGTTTTCACTTGATACCTTTTGCCATTTGATATCTTGAAATGATTTTATGGATAAAGATTGTGGGTGCATAATTACACTGAGTTTTAAAAATTTGGACAGAAAAACTATAATCTTTTTCCCAAAAGAGAAGGTATGTGATATGACTACACCCTTTGTCAAGTTGATCATCACTGCCCTTTTAGATGATTAAGTCCAAGGCCTGCCACCTTAAGAAAAAATAGCTTTAGGATATCTTTCTTTCTTTTTTCTTCTTTTTTTGCAAATCAGGAACTCATCATCATAAGTTAGAAAAGAAAAGGAAAAAAGGAATAGACACGGAGATAATTGATCTCAATATTTCAGGAAGGAAACCAACAAATCTGTTTCTTGCTAACGGTTTAAGATCCTATGAATGGGCAACTTGTTGCTTTCAGTTTCCATGACATCTCTAGTTTTCTACTTTCAAGTTTTGAGCACCACCCTCCATTCTTATCATTGGCTCTGATTCATTGTGCTTCAGTGTATATCACTAAGGTATAGCAAGCTTCATTTTTCTGGGAATAATTTACTACCCAAAATTGCCTCCCTCTAATGGAAAACTAGACTTAGGACTTCTGCAGCTGGGACATATGTGTGATCTGAAGAGCCAAGGGGAGGAAAAGTATACTTGGGAAAAGCTGAAACTTCCTCTAAACCAAGGTTTTTAACCTGCACTCTGCAGATGGCACCTGGATCACTTCAAAATCCTTATAAAATCTGTGTTGATTTACAAAATTTGGGGTAGGTAGTTCCCATGGTACATCGTTTTCTCAAAAGGTTAAGAACCTCTGAGCCAGAGACACTTTATGCCCTACTCTTTCTTTGCTAAGGCAAACAGGCTCCAATTCCCTCCACTACAAAGTCCCTGAGATTTCTTTAAAATATTATATAGCTAGAAATTAACCATCCCCACCAAAAGTCTTTTTTTTTGCAAAGCCTGCAGATTTGTCTTTCACAAGGCCGATAAACATATGACAAGCCTGTGATTTAGCTGTGGAAAGTGTGGGCAGTCTTAGAGTAACAAATTTCATGTGAGACTTTATATCATAGGCTTTTTAAATAGATGGCAGCAGAGTATAGACAGGCTGAAAGATACATTTGGGCTCCTCTCTTGAGTGTGCTTCCATGACCTCCCCACATACCTGGGGAGTGACTTGGGACATTATAACTATTATCTTCTAAGCCTTACTAATAATTCTTTCCAGCCTAAGTGGGTATTTCATTTTTAAGAATGATAAATAATTTTAAACTATTTCAGGTGGTGCATAAGGTTCTAAAGCAGTGGTTCTCACCTTGGCCACACATTAGCATCCTCTGAGAGGCTTTTTAAAGCCGGATAACTAAGTTATAGACCAGATTCAATTAATTAGCCTCCAAGCAAGGGAGCAAGTTATCAGAGGCTTTTTAATGCTCCTCAGGTAATTTCAACAAGCAACCAGAATTCTCATTCTGAACCTACTATATTAGTTGCATTATAGTGCCAGTGCCAAGATGAAGTTTTCCATGGGTGGCTGCAAGGATTCTATAGAAGACAGGTCTAAAAGAACACTATTATTTCTCCTATATCATAAAGAGAAAATCATGTTACCTCAATAAGAAGGGAAAAGATACAGAATACTAATTTTCATCTTGTCACCTTAGAAGTTTCATAACCAGCTTTATATTCTTAGCATACATAACCTTGTGAAGAGAACCTGCCCTAAGGAATGAAAACTTACTTGTCTCAGTTACATTAGCATTTGCTCACACCCAGGATACACAAGATTCAAGGTGGTTAACTCTAAGCAAAATGTAAGCATCAAAGACACATATATGGGAAGATAGGAGAAGATCAAACATAGCTGAAGAACTTCAAGGGTTGCTTAAATAGGTTTCTGGTCCAAGTATAAAAGAAATTGCCTTCTACAGAATATTGGTCACCTCCTGAAAGGCGTTTCTAAAAACGATGCAGCATAGTGGATGAAAAGGAACACGTAGTGCAGAATTGCATCATCCCCCAAAGTCATTTTTCACTTCTCATTATTCTTTCAGGGGAAAGGGATCAGAACTATGGCATGGGTCATTCTCCATGAAAACCTGATTCATCTTCATGTGTGAAGCTGTGTCACAAGAGTGCTCCCTCTCTATATGCCTATCCTGGTGTTATCATGTTCTTTGGTGAACTAGATCACAAAATCAGCTACAGACTTTGTGACAGAAAGCACGGTTGTGTGGGGGGTGATGGGTGACTAGTATATTTTAATCTAACAGCCTTGATACACTATTATCCTGATTTTCTAACCACTGAAACCTCTACTTAAATATACCATAAAGATACTGTATAGGTTTCATCCAAAATAGTTGCACTGACCAGAAAATTACTGCTCCATTTCATTTCCCCACCTAACTTTCTCTATAATTGGGGGAATCCACCATCTATTCTTCTTTTTCCTTATTCATCTGCCAAGTCTTTTTCTCCATTCCCTATGCCAAGGTTCTCTGACATAAACACCCTTGACTGCCAACCCTTCCTGCTGCTGTCTTAACATAAGCAATTCAAGGTGACTACTATTCTCCCTCCCTGCAATTTGCTGTATCTATACAGTTGTATGGTAGTGGAGGAAGTGTCAGATGAAAAGGTGATAAACTATCTCTTCATCAAGGGATAGTTCCGTAACTCACAGGCTACAATGGTAAGAAAGTTTCTGGAGCATTGTAAAGAACTGATTTTAAATGACTAGTTATGAATTTGTTTTCCTCTTTTCCATATAGTGTTTGATTTTTACCAAGCATGTGCTGTTCCATTTTTTACAAGCTGACCCAAAAGTTGTGTTGTTTACTAAATCTCTAAATAGCAACATTAGAGTTGGTAAACTAGTTTGAAAACTTACAACTTGTAAAAACATGTCAGCTTTCCAGTGCTTAGGACAATGTTCTGAAGACCTTTGCTCTAATATAGATGACCTGGACATAACATACAGTCAGCACAGCGCTGGCATCAAGGGACTTGTAATGTGTGTGCTCACTTGGCCACCACATAGCCCTGGGGACTTGAGCAAGTCAGTTAACTTCTCTGTATCTCATGTCCTCGCTGATAAAATAGATAACAACTAACACTGTGCAGTGCTCATTAAGTTTTCGATAGCTTACATGCATGACTTCCTATCATCTTCCCAGCAAACTGATGATGAAGATATTGTTATTGCCCATTTTGAAAAGCTAGAAACTGTGGCACAAAGAGGCCAACTGTTTTCTGTGGTCCCAAAGCTTGGTCCAGAGCTAGGATTCAAACCAGATAGCAGTTCTTGGAAGAATTCACCTTCTCATCAGTGACATCTGCTGCATGCTCTCTATCCCAAATGGTGATGATTAAACCAGATTAAGAATTTGGAAATAAATGTAACATGTTATTAATGTTCTTCAAGTTTCCTTTCTCATCTCTCAAAAGGAGACAAAGCTTAATATTTCAGAATCTTTATAAGGAGTAGGAATGAAGTGTTTTTAATCCAGTACTAGTCATAACACATCTATTAGGTTATTGATAAATGGTAACTACAAATATTATAATTTTTTTTTGGCCCTCCCTGGTGGCGCAGCGGGTTAAAGCACTGCACTGAGAAGCTAAAGCCACTTCCACATGAGTTCAAATCCCGCCTGCCCCGGAGGAGACCACATGGCGAGGCAGACCTCTCCTGACCCGCCCGCTGCTCCCCTCAGCAGTGTACTTCGTCGATCTGCCTGTTCTGCTCCCCGCTCTGTCTCTGGTGAAGCCTCTCACTGCCCCTGAGCCTCTGGCCTGTACCCCAGTTCTGTATGTACAAATAAATAAATCTTTAAAAAAATATTATAATTTTTGTTACTAATATTTTAAATAATTTTGTTCTAAGTGCCAAGTAAGTTTATTCACTTCCTTCCACTCCCAATAGTAGGACCAGTCTTTTGCTCCTGAAATCAGTTACAATCTCAAGAAAACATGCTTTGTGTCATTGTGCTATGATTTATGTATGGAAGAAGAGCAAGATTTTGCTCCCTCTCCCTTTACTACCTCCACTACTGAAACATGCTTCACTTTCAAATGTCAAGAAGTAGGCTATAATCTAAGCTTGTCCCCTGTCACAATGTAAAACTAACATCATTTTCCCATTTTGCTTCTTACAGATATTTGCATATATGAGTCCATCTTCCCATGAAATAAGCAAGTGGGACCTTCCAGCTCTTAGATTTTTATCAATTAACTCAATAATTGACCCTTGGGTCTTTGCCATCCTCAGGCCTTCTGTGCTGAGACTGATCCGTTCTGTCCTCTGTTGTCGGATTTCATTAAGAACCCAAAATACAACCCAAGCTTCCTCTTCTGCACAATCAAATGCCAGAAAATAACTGACCTCTGTGGACAGTAGTTAAGAAGTGCTTAGTAAGCAGGCATCTGGAAGAGCTTTCTGAAATGGTTCCTTGAATAAATGGAAAAAGCTAATTTATAAACAAAATGAAGCTACTCTAATAAAACAGAGTCAACAAGCAAATGTTTGCACAGTGGATTGGGCTACAGACTGACAAGGCATTTCTTTGGAAGGTATCAGAAGGATCTAGAAAACCTGCCTTCACTGAGTGGAGTACATGGCCTGTAGAGGACTAACCAACTAACTGCTTTTAAAATCCAGTTGCCTTTTGATTAAGCTTTCCTGTTGAATGAGAAAGCATGTGGTTTGTTATTTGTTTAAAGCCCTAGATAGTTACTATGTTTCTATGGTATTAGTATTATAAACATGTAGTGTACAGTCAGACCAGATAAAACTTCTATGTGTTCCTTAGGAAGTCCATATGTGGGTCTGGCAAGCCTGGTGTCTTGTGATTGCTTAATAAACCTGTTATTTGGACCAGGAGGTTGAGAATCTTAGGCACTTTGTACTGTTTTGTTTATATATATGTGGGAGTACTCTCTCGTCACCAGAGGGTTACTCTTAGAAGAGTGAACACAGTCTGTTAACGTCAGCTAGTCCCCAGAAGCTATGCATCAAAGCAGGAAGCCACTTACTTTACAATAACCAACCACTGGGCTAGTAGTAACCAAGAAGACTTGAGGAGTTTTCCTCTCAACAAGAAAATAATAGAAAGGTTATTAATTCTAACTAGTATTCTTTATTCTATTTCCAAGGGAACATATGTGTGATATATCCCAAGTCAAATATTAAGATTAAAATATGAAATACCTGATCAGTTTCTCAAATACACTGAAACTCTTTATGCTGATGTTGTGATCATGACTAACATACTTTGTAAGAAAGATGACTGTGTTGTAACAAAATTCCTCCGTCTATATTTTTATCTGGGAAATATGGTTTGACTCATATTATATAAGAAGTCATGTAACATGAGTCATATCTTAATATATTTCTAGACTTAAATATTTGGCATGGTCTAAACAAAGTGTCACAATATTTAGTGAATTTACACTGTTTAATCATAACTTAGCCAATTGTGAACTTATCTAAAATGTTATGAACTATAACATTTTGAAAGTAGAATTTGAATTCCTCCCAATAACATTTTATAATGAGTGTAGATATATTTTTAAAGAGCTAAAATTAGACATTCTTTTTAATTTGGCAAGTTTTTATAGCACAGAATACCTTGTAAATCAGAGTTTAAAATATTCAATACAACACTTAGTATTAGAGAATTTTTTTCCTTTAGTTTTTAACCTTATAGCATGATTTTTACAAAAGTAGAACCAATTTTGTTATTACTGCAGACTAACATTGTGGTTTTTTTTAAAGGTGGGGGGAGTTTGTTTGTTTTTTTTTTCAAAGCTTTATTGAGTTGCTTATGCAAAACCACTTCCTACAAGTAGTTATCAAACTAGATGATAATTTTGAGTTATTCCAAACCAATGGAAACATCAAGTTATTTTGACAAAATTTATGTCAAATCAGCTCCTATTTTAAAAGGAATAAATGAATGGTTTGCCTTTTTACTAATTTAAAAAAAAAGAACAGGTAAAATTTAACCTACTAAACTCTGGACTTGTAAATAAATACTCCTTTTCTACAAAGTATTCAAAAGTTAACACATTATTCAAAATGGACTAATTAGGCAAATGGATAATTCTTAAACATAAAATTCTGAAGTTACTTTGAAACAGAAGACTGATTTCTTTTGTTAGATAACCTTTTTCTCCTTCAAATGAAAATATTAACTTCAATTTTTCATCTCACTTCATTCAGCCCCAAAATTCTAGAATAATGGCTTACAACTTAAAATAATTAGGCAAAATATCACTAATAGGTAAAACATGATTGATGCAGAGGGTCCAAATTTAAATGAGGGAATTTAATCCATTTCTTTAAAATTTGGAAGCTTTTTCGAGCTTTGTTTCTTGTACTGTGTTCAATGAATGGATCCATGTATAAAATATTGCTTAGACTTGATATGTATTTTCTTTCTAAAATCCCATCACATTCAGTGTACTGTTTAAGTTTACTGACTCATTTTCAAATTAAGTAAAAACACAAAATTTAGACTGGTATATTGGAGAATGAATTGTAATGAAAGAAAACCTAAATTTTATTTTTTGCCTCTGATAGTCAATGGAATGTAAAGAGAAAAACTATAGTGGATTTCAGCTCAGAATGCCAGCCCTTACTGTAGGTGTCCAGAAATGTCTGGGCCAAAGCAGATTGCCTGAGCTCTGTGTTTCCTGGATGGTTTATGGTGGCCATCAGTCATCATTCCCAAGACAGAACTTGGAATTCTGGTACAACAGGGTCTTGAATCTCCAAAGATCTGCTGGAACCCTGAATTTGCTTAGAAGTTATAGAAAGCTCCCGCAGATCTGAATCGCAAAATAGAACTAGACACAAGGTCAACACTAAGTCTTTATGTTGAGACTACAGCCCTGAGCAACAGGGGGAACAGATTCTCAATGCAATTCAGTTAAATTTTGGTGCTCCTGCTAGTTTATGTCAGTGCACACTGGACTAATTATCTCAATGCTAATGTAACATCAGCTTTGGCTTGAACCAATCAATAGAACAACATATTTAGATTTAGCATTTGATAACTTTGAAAGGCAGGGGAAACAATTAGTTTGCCCTTAAACAGAGGTTTGTTTATTTCACATAACCAAAGCTAATGTTTTTCTGCATTTGGGAGAAGCCCCTACTGAACCATTCACAGATATAGAAACAATTCTCTCTACAAAAGTATGATTTATTTATGTGGATTTGCAATGCCTACTCTTGCAGTTGGAGTTGCAAACTTGAGTATTTTTGATGACTACCTTCTGCCTCAACATACCTCCAATCACTTATGAGCATTATTTTTTTTTTATTTACCAACCATTTTGATCATCTGACATGCATACTACTGAAATAAATACTATTTCAACGTTCACAGAAGCTACTGTCTAATTTATACATGGGACCAAGGTTATATTTTGGGCATTATGTTTTATTTCAGAAAGTTATTCTTTTTTTCTGGTAGCTTTTGTGGTTTTTTTTAATTGTAAGTAAATTTTCATGAAATACAGTTTTTAAAACATATGTACAATTAAAGAGAGTTTGCATTTTAATTCTGCGATCCCTGTGTTTCATTCTTAAAAGTCTGTCAAGAGCAAATAATGTCCATGAAGATTTCAGAGGAAAGACAATATTCAAAAGGGTAACTGAGGTCTGGCCAATGAAAGGAATACTTAAAGAGGGGTGGCCAAGGTGAAGTAAATCCACAGGGATGGTGAAGAATCCCTTGGCAGCTGTTGCCACTTCTAGACCTGATAGGATAAGGGAGGAGCAGTTGCTGGAAACCAGCGAAAGCTGTTGGAGACCCCACCCAACAGGAGCTGTGACTTTAGTGGGGAGCACAGCTACCACCACACCAGAGGGGCACGCTGGGACACCACATTCCTGGAGCATCTCTCCTTTTCTTTACTTTTCTGTTTGTCCTCCCAGTGGCCAAACCAACTATAATCTATCATCTGGGTAATTCAGTCCAGCACTGTTGGAGAATAGTTATAGAAGGGCAATGGAGGATATCTAGCACAAGTAGATTAAATGTGTGTGTTCTCTTTTTACCAGACAATGACAAAAATTGAAACTACAAAGTGGGTCTCTCTCCATTTCCTACTCCAAATAGATATGTTTTCGCAAACTTGAGGAGAGGTAAAGTATTACAGGTGCCCTTACCAAAATATTTGTCGTACACTCTGCTCTCCTTAGGCTCAGCATTTTACATTTCTCCAATTCCAAAGGTAATTTATATGCATGGGGGAGGAAAGGGAGGTTAAATGAAAGCATCTTTCTTTTTCTGCCTGTAACAAGATAGCAGAGTATCTATTCCTAGGCCAAACAAAGAGTCATGTGCATGGGTCTAGAATGAGCTAAAGCATTTTTAAGACAGGCCATTGGAGTGAGAAAAATCAACAATGCTGGGTGTGGGCCATATCCCTAATCTTACTAGAACGAGTCTACACAGATATTGAAAGAGCATATGTAGTAATTTAGCAATTCTGCACAGTTTAACATGCTAATAAAAAAATCAGGGAAAAGCAAATTTAGCAAAATGGAAAAAGGCTGTAGAAAGTATGGTTTTCAAGGCCATCTGTCAATGCTCCTCTTCTTGCTACAAGAGGTTTCTCGTTTCCTCATCTATATAAAGTAAAGATAATGAAGTGATCCACCTCCTCATTTACTATTAAGATTAAATAAGTAAATCAGGCCACCCTGAATGCACACAAGGCGTTCAGCACTGTGCCTGGACATGATAAATGCTGGTAAGACTGGAGTTAGAATCATTTCAAATGCCCAGTCCAGGGGACTTTCTGACCTCTTCACACATGCCTGGTTCAGATTACTCATCCCGGGTGATGGTCACTGTGTCTAAGGGTCATGTTATCTGCTTGTTAACTCTGGGTAACCATCAAGAATGATGATGTGATAAGCACGTATGGGCTTGTTTATCAGAGAATCCAAAACAAAGTGACACACATATAATAATGAAGGGGAAATGTGTAAGCAAAAAAGAAAGGAGACCAAGAGGGGCAAAAACACAATAGGAAAGACAGTAACACTCTTCAATGGATCCATCCGTGCAAAAGGAAACAATCCCTGCAACACATATTCAAGCAGAAACTTCTGTGTGCTTGGAAACGCTACTCTGTCATGGTACTCAAGGCCATCTGTCAATGCTCCTCTTGCTGCTACTGAGAACACCAAGCTGAAACCAGTCCCTTACACAGCCAATTTCTGAAGACCCCCAGGACAATTACAAACCATGTGCAACAGATAACCTTTCAAGTTCCTGAAACCAGTGCTGGAGCCATTTGGGTGCCCTCCACCATATCTTGTTCAGGTCATCAATGTTTGTATTAACATGTCAAGCCAGAACCAAACACCAATAAATAATTCTAAAGTAGCCTCTTAGTACTGCGAGTGGACATGCCAGTTGCTGGCTTGATTTGGACATATTTCCACTAATGTAACCTGAGATTACAAAACTTTATTAGCAAGTAGGCCATAACTTAAAAACCTTCAGTGAATCAAGAAAACAACAGCATTTCATGTCACAAAGAGGAAAACTGGGAATGCAGGGGAAAATTGATTGCTCACTAAGGGTATCCTCATAAGATACCATATGGTTATGATCTCGCCTGACCTCATTTCACTTGCTATTGCTCTGTCTATAAGTTCTTGAGTTGACTCAGTAGACTAAGTGTTTTGAACTGATCAGTTGGACCTGTCCTTTCTGTTACCCACTTTACCCCTGAGGTACTGTAGAACTAGATGCCAGAGCTTAATCCCAGAGGAAAATTTTCCTCGAAAAAGGCACACACTACTTTCAGTTATCAAATGAAATTTTTGCTAGAATGAACTGACCAATATGCATCGCAATCCAAGAGTGTGCCTGGTGTGTCATGATAAGTAAAACATTTTAAAATGACAGCAGATATACAATAAAACTTTTGAAGATAGTTGAAGCTATCCTTCATATGAAGAATTCAGAGGAATGAGCCAAAAAGTCCCAGACTTTTGAAAACTTATGAACTTTTTACATTTTTAAAAATAAATGTGCTCAAGATGCTAGAAAATGAAAGACACTATCAGCAAAACACTGCACAGTGTGGTACAATATTCTTTGACCTGTGAAATAAATCTTTCTGCAGTAAATAGACTATGTGATAAAAGAGTTAGCTTAACTATAAATTGTAGATCTTTATTCTCCTTACTACCTGTTATGGTGATCAGCAAGCAGACACCCTCTTCAGAGAGGAAATACATCTTTTCATGAGATGCCACTTTTGAAAAACTAAGGAAGCTGGATAATCTTATTTCTGACTTTCTTCTGCACATGCCTCTGTGTTCTCAATGAAGTTAGGTGAGTCACGATGTCTGTAAGAAAATAAGGTGGGAGGGGAGACTCAGTTATCCTGTATTATTAATATCAAAAAACTTTTTTAAATAACAAGGTTTTGTCTTTATCTACTTGAGCATGTTAAAATACTATTTGGAATCCTCTGTAATTTAGGAATTTAGGGTTGATACAAGTAATGGAGGGAAAGGATAATGATTTTAT